AAAATTATATATTAAAATAACTAAACCACTGGATTTCCTACTTTATTTACTGGGCTTTTTTACTGTGTTTTAGGAAAAGAAAAAAAATTTTTTTTTCGTAAAAAAAAACCAATTTAATTTTTTTTCCTTGATTTTCACCAAGTTAGACCATTTAGTTTTTTTTATTTTTTTTTACATAAATTGCTAATATTGTATAGAACATTGGTGCCAACTTTTATAATGGGCGTGAAAGTGGATTAGGAGCTAGACTGAAAATACTGCCGAAGGGTGGCGTCCAGCTCCGCACCTGTTGACCGCCGCTTGTGCGCGATTAGTCATCAAACTGTCAATCAAATAAAATCACTTTTGACGGAATGTTTTGTAGATTTTTAATAAAACCAATACATAGAAAAAATTCCACGCGGACCAGGCAGCAGACGGGACTCGAACTCGCACCCTTCGCAATCCGGGCGAATGCACTGACCAATTATGCTACCGCGGCCCTCACGGACCGCATCGAAATTCTTCTAGCCATTCTTAAGCTGCAAGGCAGCGCCATCTATTCGCATTCGGGTTTGTCCCGTCTGCTGCCTGGACCGCGTGGAATTTTTTCTAGTTATATTTTCTTTAGATTTAAACATCAAGCAGTTACATGCTTTAAAGAAATAAAAATTATAAATTTAATTGCTATTTCTTCTTTCAAATGTTTAATACTTGTAAAAGTATTCATTTGACATTGTGGGTTACCTATAATGCGAAGAGATGGCGCTGCCTTGCAGCTTAAGAATGGCTAGAAGAATTTCGACGCGGTCGGTGAGGGCCGCGGTAGCATAATTGGTCAGTGCATTCGCCCGGATGGCGAAGGGTGCGGGTTCGAGTCCCGTCTGCTGCCTGGTCCACGTGGAAGTTTTTCTATGTATTGGTTTTATTAAAAATCTACAAAACATTCCGTCAAAAGTGATTTTATTTGATTGACAGTTTGATGACTAATCGCGCACAAGCGGCGGTCAACAGGCGCGGCGCTGGACGCCCACCCTTCGGCAGTATTTTCAGTGTAGCTCCTAATCCACTTTCACGCCCATTATAAAAGTTGGCACCAATGTTCTATACAATATTAGCAATTTATGTAAAAAAAAATAAAAAAAAACTAAATGGTCTAACTTGGTGAAAATCAAGGAAAAAACTTAAATTGGTTTTTTTTTACGAAAAAATTTTTTTTTTCTTTTCCAAAAACACAGTTAAAAAGCCCAGTAAATAAAGTAGGAAATCCAGTGGTTTAGTTATTTTAATATATAATTTTATGAGTCCATAATCGGCTTTGAAGTACTGCATGCCAACCGGTTGTCGAAAACTTCAAAGTCCCATTACTCTTTAACTAGTCATTATATCACAAAAACATTTGGTACACGTATCAATAATAAGTATAAGTAGAACATACTCAAATATTACTGAAATCGGAAACATCGAGTTTTTTTACCTGCCCGCTTCTCGTGGAATGCCCCACCTACTACTAAAACATGGTAGATAACTATGTGTTTTTTTTATATCTTGCACAGACATATGAAAAGAATATTACTGGTAGTTACTTACTAGGTATGTCCCTACAAAATTTCAGTAAAGGTATTAGATCGTATAATTCACGGCAAGAAACCGCTTAGGTATAAAGTTAACAACGGCCACTTACCAGTATACACTCTTGTGCCATATCATTGAAATCTACATATTGAAATGGTGTAGTCTGTTTGTGTTGCCTTTTTTTTTTGCCTTGGAGGAGATGGCTCTTCATTTTCATTTTGTTCAATATCCGAGTGCTCGCACATCCGCTCAATTTCTTCCTCAGCTTCTTGATATGAAGTTATGTTATTTCTTTTAACTATGCAATTAGATTTTAACCAGTTGTCTTTTGGATAGTTCTTATCGTTTATTTTAAGCTTCTCCGGTCGTTTTATGGGCCAAAACAAAACGCCATCTTTTTCCCAAGAGCCTGGTATGCTAGTCAGAACCGGTTGGCCCTTTTCTATTGTCTGTACAATTTTGTATGGCATGGCTGAAACGAAAAATCGTATTTAATTTGTTTACTTACTGCAATAGTCCATTGTATGTTATTAAATATTATGTAAGTAATTAAATGATTTAATGCATGTTGTGGACGAAAATATTACTAATACGTCATTTTTATCATTATAATCTTCTTCTTAGCGAGTGGACCGCAAGGTCATCGATCCTACAAGCTCTGGTGTCAGAGTTTCGAAATCGCCTTACGGTCTCTGACGTGGTTTTATCATCATTTATTATCATCATCTGATCGCAAATGTCAACTTCAAATGGTAAAAGTAGTATACAATTTATAGATCTGTAGGTAGATAATAATACATGTATAAGTAATTTATAATAATTTTAAAACTCTATTTAACAAATTATATTATGCATGTATTATTATTTACCTAGATAGAGAATATATATTTATATCTATAAAAATGCGTAAGAAGTCGTGGGCAACTGTTAGTCCTAATATCCATTATCCATAGGTATAGGTACTAATATAATAAACTAGCTGTTGCCCGCAACCTCGTTTGCGTTCTTACTCGTATTTTCCGCGGGAACCCGTCGCTTTCCCTAAGTAAAAAGAAAATTTGAGACTTTTACTAGCTATTGTCATTTAATATGAACTTTATACAGTAGCAATAAAGCTCAAATCGACTACGTTTTAGTTAGAAAAAGTTTCTATGGGAAAAAGAAAAGGGCTGTTTTAGGGGTTTTCCGGCAATTATTCGAATTTTTCCCGTCGTGAAAACCATCCTTGAACTTCAACGAACATTTAAAAAAAGAATTGGCCAAATTGGACCAGGCGCTATTGAGTTATGCGCTTAGCAACACATTTTGCGATTCATTTTTATATATAAGATGATGGAAAAGTGTGTGTGTCTGTTTGTTTGTTTGTTTGTAATACCATAAGTTAGAATGGCTTGGATAAGGGTTTTGTAAATGTATGTTATAAGTTTTGTATCTGTGATATTTCTTAAGTACTTAAATAACCATATCATCTTTCTAGCTCGACTTGCAACCGCATTTAATTGAGGGTACCACGTCAAGTTTTTGTCAAGGGCTACTCCCAGGTATTTGGTAGTTGTGACTCTTGTAACATTTTGGCAGTTGCAATTGTTGGCATGGGATGTTGTACATGTGTGAGCAGTTATTGTTAGTTTGTTTGTTGGTTGCATTGAGTCTTTAATAGAGAATGGAATTAAATTAGTCTTATTTATATTTAGAGTAAGTAGGTTCATATTCAGCCATTTAATGACTTTACTCAGTCGGAGTTCAGCTTTACGGAATACCATTGGCCAACTTTTATCTTCAAAAAGTAGCGCCGTATCATCTGCATATGAGATAATTCTTCCGTTTTCTAGCTTCATATTTGTTCGATCGTTCGTATATATAGGAAAAAGGGTAGGTCCTAACACACTTCCCTGCGGGACACCATAACTCGTAGTTAGAATATCACTGCTATGGACTGAATCATCTAGTTTTACACGTTGTGAACGGTTGTTAAGATAATTGGTTATCAAACTCAAGAATGTACCCCTAATACCCATCCTTTCCATTTTGCAGAGGAGAAAGGGGACTGAGACGGCATCAAAAACTTTTTTTTAGTCAAGGAAAACGCAGAGCGTTTTCCTTTTTTTGTCGATATTATTTGTTATTTGTTTAGTGAGATCATGAATGGCATCTTCTGTGCTTAAACCTTGGCGGAAGCCATATTGTGAATCTGATAGTAACTTGAATTTATTCAGATATTTAATAAGCCGAGAGTTAATTAATTTTTCAAGGATTTTTGAGATGACAGGCAGCACAGAGATAGGCCTATAGTTATTGATGTCGTTTCTGTCCCCATTCTTGAAAATGGGGTGGATTATAGATCTTTTCAGAAGATTCGGAAACAATCCCTGCTGAAAGACCATAACGCTGAGGTAAGTAAGTATGGGGACGATTTCTTTTTTTGCCAGTTTTATGAATGCTGTCGGAATTTCATCCCATCCAGCAGCAGACCCCGACTTAAGGTTAGCTATTATAGAACCGATTTCATAGGGGTCTGGTTCAACAATCCCTATTGAGTACGGGCATGACGGACATTTGTATATAAAGTAAGACTGCACATTCAACTTCACAGTAATTAACAGCAACATTTGTTTTAAAGTAATGTAAGTTTTAAAAGTATGAGTCCTATAGTACAGACTATAGATATATGTTGTGTAAAATCCTATTGTTAGTTGGGAGAAAGTCATAAAATAAAACCTTTTTCCCATAGTATAACTAAGAATACTTAGAATTTCATTAGTATTGTAAATATTATGTATTTTGTATATTAAAATGTATAATGCATTTGCTGATACTCCTAATGAGTTATGTTTATTTTTACATATGTGATAATATTTATGAGGCCGGTACATTAGAATGCTGATAGGCTGTAGATACATATCTAAAAGTACACTTACTTGATAGGCTTTGACCATTGTTTTGTTATTGCATAGGTGAACCGATAAAAAACATATCAACTTACAAAAACAGTCAATGAACAAAACATGTTTACAACACGCATGGTGCAATGAGCATATTGATGTATTACCAAAGAAATAGATTAATATTAGTCACTTATTGAGTAGCTGTTGTATTTGAGATTCACATTTTATAGATATAATCGGCGAGTCATCATTTTGTCGCAAATACACTTTACCGTAGTTTGTCCAGCAATACTTAAAATCTTTTGCATTCTTCACGTTTCTAGCCAAAAAATAAAGTCTTCCTGATTTTGGTGTTAGATTTTCCGAGACGAATATTGGTGTGTCGGGGTTTATCAATAAACCTAGGTGCTTGGCACTTAATTTATCGGTTTTATTTTTTTTATTGAAAGTTTTCACCGCCCTCATAATATCACTCTTAATGAAAGTATTCGTAAATTCAACTATGAGTGTGCTTTTCTCACTTTTATTTTTGTTATGAATTTTTATGATATCCTTTAAATCCTATTTTTCTATAGTTACGCCAATATTTTCAGACAATTTGGACATCATGTTATATAAATCCTTTTTTGTTTCACCCCCTTTCAACGGCAAATTTTTTATTTCTATATTGGATTTTCTATCACATATCTGTTTTTCCTCCATCTTGTTTTCTAATACCATTCTTTGTTCTGCATCTAATTTAGCTTGTGCCTCCAATTGTTCAATTTTTTTCTTCAAGTTTGAGTTTTCTTCGCTTAAATATGAGATGGTGCATTGAACATTATTTATTATTTGCTGTACTTCTTTCAGCGAGTTTATAACCGTGTTTGTTTGACTGATCTGCGAGTCGGTAAACAATTTTAGTGACTCCTCTATCTGCTTTTTTATTTCCTTCTTTATATCTTCTAACTGGATATCTGTTAATTCGGGGGGTCGTTTCCTTTTAAAACGCATGGAGTTATTTCCAACTGCAGTCGGTGATGAGGCTTTATCACTTACAGTTGAGACATCGGGTGTTGAGCCGTATTTATCAGGTGTACGGATCATTTTGGCACAGCAATCCAGCAATCGGTGGTAAATGTAGTAGCAGTGACGTCAAATGACGCGACCACGATCAAAACAGTGCAGGAGTGGGACAGCAATTATGATTAACGGTGCTCTTTACTCGAGGTGGTGAGGGGAGCTGCAAACTGGTCGTACGACACACGTCCGTTCTATCCAACGTCCCGGGCGAAAGAGGAATTATTAAGGATATTAGTAAGGATGAGCGGAAAGCTTTCTTAACCAGTGCACCCTTATTGGATATTAATAAAAAGCTAAGGGGTTTAGGTAGATACCTGTATTGTAAGTACATTACATATATTTAAAGAAGGTCAGCTATCTAAAATTATGCAATACATTAAAACGTGTGAATACATGTTTAGTTACCTCCCAAGTAGCACACAGGCTGAATTTTCAGAAATAAGTAAGCTTTTAACCAGAATAACACTCCACTAGAGATATATAAAGGTTCTGGGTGAAGCTGAAGACTGTGCAAGAGTGATTTTTTCTAGTTTTGTACAGTCTTGCTGATTAAGAGCTGCAATAAAGAGCAACAATATACTCTTAGCATTATAACAGTTAATTAAAAAGTTACTGTCCAGCCGCTGGTTGCAACTTATTCTCTTAACTTGTAAAAAAACCTTAAGCTTGTATATGTTTGGTTAATTAGGTAACTTATAAGCTCTTGTGCAGACGTTGGCTGTACAACAGTTTGCACCAAAAGGTTGTTTAAAAGAGTAGGTTTATTCTCTTTAAATGCTATTCAAGTAAGCTTGACAATGGTCGTTTTGGGAACTCTTAACACGCTTATGTTTGCAAAGGAGAATAAAAAAATGTTTTTATATCTACTAAACTTCTAACGAGTTCTTCTTTAAAGCCAAAAGCTTTAAAGTTCTACTAAAAGCTTTAATGCAGCTTGAGGCGGTTTATTAGAATTACTCAAGAGTTTTATAATTCTAACGGCTTAATTTTACTCCTGTAGCAGATTAGGTCATTTCACTAAAGGAACAGTAGTGCATCGATTGGTGTTAGTAAAATGGACATAAAACCTTGGAAAAAGAGAAAACGAAGTGGTGGGATTAAGAGAAAACTCTCAAAACAATATTCCAAGTATAAAACTTGCGAAAATAACCAAAATTTTGATCAGCTTGGCCCATCAACGTCAGTATCCATGCCATGTCAAGAATTCAGTGAAGAGAGTGATTCAACGAATAGCGGTAATGGTTCCGTATTCTTAAAAAATATTGTTAGCATACCAAATGACAATCCTCCTGAAAATTGTAGTGATCTACCGTATTTCAGCCAGAGACAAGAGCGAGTTTTAGTTTTCAACGAGGGTTCTAGATATTCAAACATTACAGAAAATAATGAAATTCATACTCCATCCTTTTATAGAAGTTCAGACAGTGACACTGATGAAGACGCTGAAGAAAGCAAGTTTTCGAACGATATTCTATTTCGTGAACAAATAAGAAAATGGGCCATAGAAAAAAATATTGCTCAAGCAGCGTTAAAAGATTTGTCAAAAATAATAAATAGTAGATTTCCCAATACTTTACCAAATGATCCTAGAACGCTTCTACGTACTCCCAGAAGTATTAGTATAGTAGAAATCCAACTTGATGGTGAATATTGGCATAATGGACTTACAGATTCTCTTCAAATATGTTTGGAAAAGTGGGTGAATGTACCAGATATTATAAATTTAAACATCAACTTTGATGGCCTTCCTATATACAAAAGTTCTAAAAAAGAATTTTGGCCCATTTTATGTAATATCTTAGAAGATCTTATCTTAGAACCATTTGTAATTGGAATATATTGTGGAATCGGAAAACCTAAAAGCCTTGAAAAATATTTGGAGAAATTTGTAACGGAAATGAAATACTTATTAGATAATGGAATCTATCTTAGTAATTGCAACAAAACAGTAACGATCAGGATAAGATGCTTTGTTTGCGATTCCCCTGCAAGAGCCTACATAAAAGGTAAATAATTTTTTTTTCTTATCTGTAGTTCTTTCAGTCGTTTGCATATATAGTGTACGTAAGAATTAATAAATTTAAAGAATAGCCGAAAACCCCTGAGAATATAACACACATACTGCGCTTTCCAATTGGCTTGGTCCGTAATTAATGGAAATTTTGACAGCTGTTGCTCATTGTATCACATAAATTAATTATTTTATTAATTATTCTTTTGTTTATTTTACAGGTGTGTGTAACTTCAATGGGAAACATGGCTGCCTAAAATGTAATACTGTTGGAGAGTACTCCCACAACTCACACACTGTATATTTTCCGCAAGTAACGTCTTCTGCTAGAACAAACGATGGGTTCAGAGGTAAACAGTATGGTGCTCATCACAAGTCTGACTCTCCACTTTTACAGCTCCCAATAGACATGGTAAACGATTTTCCAGTGGCAGATTGTTTACATCTCATAGACTTGGGTGTCATGAAGAGATTGCTAATTGGTTGGCGAGATGGCAATTTGGGAAAATTTGTTACAAAATGGTGTTCAAGAAACATAGATGTGGTAATGATTTTTTTACTCAAATGTAAACTTCCGTCTGAGATACATAGATCGGTCAGAGGTATAGATTGTCTTGTCCACTGGAAAGCTTCTGAATATAGAAGTTTTTTGTTTTACCTGAGCATCATTATACTGCCAGATGTGCTACCACGGGATGCATTCGTGCATTTTCTGTTTTTATATTGCGCAATAACGATATGTTCCAGCAAGGAATACTTGCATTTTTTGCCATTAGCAAAAGAGTTGCTCCAGTATTTTGTTCAACATTACAAAGATTTTTATGGGGTAGATTATATTACGAGTAATGTTCACAATTTACTCCACGTTGTTGAAGAGGTGGAAAGATATGGCCCGCTGCAAACTTTCAGTGCATATCCTTTTGAAAACAAATTATATTTAATTAAAAAAATGTTGCGAGGTGGTAAGAAACCACTTCCTCAAGTAGCAAAAAGACTAAGTGAGAACTTTGAAAAACTTGGTGATGATTTGAAAACAAAAAACCAATACAAGGGCCCATTCATAAAGAAAACTTATAACAAACATACTAAGATTTATTTCCAGTACTTTTGCCTTTCAAAGAAGCCACAAGATAAGTATTTCATGACACATACTAACGATATTTTTGAATTGAAAGAAGTAAAAGAAGAAAATCTAACAATTAACGGGTATTTAATAACAGGGCTGAGAGAAGTTTTTGATCACCCCGTTAAATCATCAAACTTTAATATTTTTAAAGCTAAAATGCCAGAAAATGAGCGCATTGAGGTAACGGTGAAGCTGGAAAACGTTAAATTGAAATTAGTATGTATAGAACATAAAAAGGAGTAGTATTTCATACCTCTCATACACACTGTATAATTAAAAACATTTTAAATAAAATAACGCTATTCAACTTATATTTTTTATTGCTGTACTAGTACCTCTACTAAAGGTTCAACATTTACTACTAATATGTATCTCCGCTTATTAGATTTAAAGTATGTACTGATACATTGTTTAAGTTCTTACTTCTAGTAAAATCAGTCGCATGATTTTGCATCTATATAATAGGTATGTACTTATTAATAAAAGTGTAACATCATAATCACAGCCACGAGATTTCGTACCTTAATAGTAAACAGGACTAAACAGATGGACTGCATTCCAACTGCCAAATGGCAATCGAGATACAGTTTGAATGCAGTTGTCATCGACGGCAGTTTCAGTGCAGTCGAGCCAGCTACATTCAAACTGCATCTCAACTGCCATTTGGCAGTCGATTTGCAGTTAGATAGCAGTCGGTCTGTATCTTGGTTTAATAAGTAATAAAAGTATGACATCATAATCGCCGCCACGAGATTGCGTAACTTAAAATTAAAATAGGTAGTGCTTAGTCAGTACTTACTGTAAATGCACATAAACAAAATAATAAAAATTAAAAAGTTAGAATTATTTTTTTTTTTAAATAATCAGCAGAGCGATTCTTCTTCATTATTTTCTGATTCATTATTTTCTTGATTCTCAGTTTCTCGGTTTTCGATTTCTTGATTCTCAATATCTTGATTTTCATTTTCTTGATTCTCAATTTCTCGATTTTCAATTTCCCGGTCTTCTTTTTCTTGGTTCGGGTTTTCTTGGCTGCTTTCTACAGTTTCTGCTTCCTGCGATGTTTCTGTCTTACTCTTTTTGTTTTTACTTTCTTTTACCTCCTGGCGTTTGCGTTTTGTTGATGCTCTGAGATCTTTAATTTCTGATCGTTTCGTAGCATTTTTGGTCACCATTTTGAAAAAATTTTCGTTGTCTTCATAGGTGTAGAGTGGGTCCCATGAGTGAACCATGTTGTAAAAAAAACTCAAAACATTTTTGAACCCTTTCAGGCCAATTTTAGTTGCATTTCCTCTGCTACCACCTGACCAGGAGCATTTACATAAGAAATCTCTGCGAAATATAATATCTAGCAACTTATAGGCACAATTGATTCCTTTTCCAGCTGATCTTGTACATAAGAATTCAAAGCGTTGTTCTAAAAGACTTTTTTCCACATTGTCAGATAATTTACATTCCAATTCTTCCAATTCCTTAACATTGGCCAAGGGTTTGATATAAAAACTTTCTTTCTCAAAAGCGTTAGCATCGCCAAGAGAAACAACAGTTTCTCTTTTGTTTTGTTGCCTTAGTCTTGTAAAGGAATCTTCTACAAGAACCACTAAATTTGAAATCTGTTTACAATTTATTTCTTCTTTATCCAACACACATTGTTGCATTTTTTGCATGACGCATTGATTTTGCAGAATCACATTTTGATTTTCTAATATTTTATTTTGATTTTTCAATATTTCTTCAAAAATATTTGTATCAATTTGTACGTTTTGAAGATCTGTAATGGTATTTGGTAGCTCACTCGTCGATATTATATACTCAATTTCTCCGGGCGCTGCAGCGGTTGAAGTACTCGTACGTGGCGCAGGTATTTCCTCCTCTGTGCCGCGATTGAGCAAAATCTGAAACAAAAAATATTTCTATTCGACTATCCAAATTTTATAAACAAGCTTCGGTCTTAATGACTGTAACGATTTTGTTCCTTTATAAGGACATCCGGGCTTACGAGGATAGATTATTATTTAAATCAAATACATTACTAGATCATCTTTCATTTTGTTAGTATTATGTGCAACTATTAGGTACCTAAACAGCTAAATATACTTACCAAATTTTCGGCCATCGAATTGTAGTTAGTATCTTGAATTGAGTTCAAATTAATCCCTTCATGTTCAGGAACATCTGTGTCACTTTTGTTTTCCATAAGAGTTAGTTCTTCTTCAGCTTCTCGATATGTTTGAAATGACGA